ATCATTTGAACCCAGGAGGGGAAGTTTGCAGTGAGCTGAGATCACGCCATTGCACTCCAGCCTGGGCAACAGCAAGACTCTGTCTAAAATAAACAAATAAAACAAATAAATTAAATAGGTAAATAAAACAGTACAGCACAGCATCAGACACCGAGCCAGCACATTAGAAGGTGCACCATGAACGCCAGCTTCCTTCCTCTTTCCAGATTTATTTTCAACTGGAAAGTCAATGAATAGCGAATGATGGAATCACAGCCCCCCAGAGCACTGAGCTGAGGAGTAGATCCTTGCTGACTGCTGAGCCATAGGCACTGATAAACACCTAGAATGTCGATGGGGACAGGTACCTTGGAGGGGCCGTTGACTGTATCCCCAAGACAGGAGCAGCCAGATGCCCCGTGCCTCCAAAAGGAATGTGTGAGAATGCTCCCAGCCCGCCTCTGAGACTTTCTGCCAAAAAAGCTGAGTGTGAATCCTACGCACTCGCTTTACAGCTGACTTCCAGTTTCAAGGAGGAAGGGGATGGAGGGTGCCAGTAAACGACACTAAAGGCAGCCCAGATTGGGAGGGAGGGTCCCTCTGCGGGACAGCTAAACCAGCTCGTGCCACAAGCCAATGGTGAGAAGGGAGGAGGGGGCGCTCTAGGTTAAAAGATAATTGAGAAGCACAACACCCAAATATGGGTGACCTTTGTTTGGATTCTATTTGAACAAAAGACATGAAAAGAGACTTTATTTTTCAAGCAATGGGGAAGTGCGACTATGGCCAGGGTATTAGATGACATCGAAGACTTCCTGGCCACTAAGTGTCACAATATCATTACAATCGTGCAGGAAAACGTCCGTACGAAGTACACAGGGATAACATGGGATTTGCTTTTTAGGAAGAGCTATGATGGCAGACCAAAAACGTATGGTTATTTGGTGTAACATATCTGTTTGCCAGAGGCCTTCCTATTTGTCTATAGTGTAAGAACATTTTGACAAGCAGTTTTTATTTATAGAAACAAAAATAAAGGTATTTGCAATCCCAAATACTCAGGAGGCTAAGGCAGGAGGTTTACCTGAGTCCAGGAGGTCAAGGCTGCAGGGTGTTATGACTGTGCAACTGCATTCCAGTCTGGGTGACAGAGTGAGACCGTGTCACACACACACAAAAAGCTATTTGCAAAATTTTTGAAAAGTTAATGTAAGAATCAATGAGGCCAGGTGCAGTGGCTCATGTCTGTAATCTCAGGACTTCGAAAAACTGAGGAGTGGTGATCACTTGAGGTCAGGAGTTCAAGACCACCCTGACAGCATTGTGAAACCCCATCTCTACTAAAAATATAAAAATTCGCCAGCATGGTGGCCGCACGCCTGTGATCCCAGCTACTTGGGAGGCTGAGGCAGGAGGATTGTTTGAACCCAGGAGGTGGAGGTTGCTGTGAGCTGAGATCACGTCACTGTACTCCAGCCTGGGTGACGGAGTGAGATTCTGTCTCAGAAAAAAGAAAAGAAAAAGAATCAATGGCAGTAATGCTATAGTAAAACCAGTCTATTCATTTATTCACGGCAAAAGCATACAAGCCTGTGGGAAAATAATTTGGCAATAAGCAGAGAGAACCATACGCATATTCATGTTCTCTAGCTCGAGACTCTGACTGCTGGGAGTTGCCCTAATGAAATAACCCGAAAGAAGGGAAAGCCACTCACAGCAAGGGTGTGGCTCTGGAGTTACGTGCTTTGGCTTGATGGCACTGGAAAGCAAAGTTCCGAGGGCTGTGTCGCAACTTGGAAGCCTGCGCAAGCAGCTGGAAAGGTGCTGTGATTACAGCTGTGTGAAGGCATGTGCGCTGGGGCCTGGCCAGCGGGGAGCCTGGAGAGGTGAGTGTGGTGGCTGGATCGGGAGAGAGGCAGGTCCGCTAGGAAGCAGGGGGCGGGGTCAGGGTGTGTTTGCAAGCTGGCACCGTGCTGCCGTGGCCACGCGTACAACTTCAGTGCAAATGGATTGTGACCTGGAGTGACCCCTGAACACCTGGTGGAAACCCAGCCAGGCTGACACTGGGCAAAGCCGGTTGTCGGGGGCCCTGGGGAGACCCTGTCTTCCCCCCATTCCTCTCTGCCAGTCTTGGGGCCCTGGGCTTGCACACAGACCGGCTTTCTGCATAGGATAGGGTTATCAGACCCTTTCCTGAAATCGCGGGCGGGAAAGAGGTGAGGTCATGAAGGCAGCGTGGGAGGGAAGAAGGGAAGGGATGCGGCGGGAGAGGGAGCACAGCAAAGGAGGTTTACTGGTCCAGGTCCTCTGCATACATCATCTCGCTGCCTCAAAATGTTTGGGGAATGCAGCGCAGTATAAAATATTTCTTCACTTTTCCTTCACTATAGTCTTCTGTAGGTATTACTGTCCTCATTTTACAGACGACAAAGCTGAGGCTCCAAGGGAGTGGTAACTTTACAAAGGTTTACTAAGGTTTTAGGTGTAAAACTGAGATACTAACCCAGATCTGTGTCTCTGGGGCTAGGCTGCCGGGGGAAATCAGCCCAGGTCATCTCTCTCTCTCTCTCTCTCTCTCTCTCTCTCTCCAGTATCAACTGTGGCTTCTTAGATAGGAAACTGAGGCTGAACACTTACAGGTTTGCGCAAGTCACTGCACCGCCCACTGCCAGCCTCCTCAATTATCGACCCAGGATCTGATGTCAAGCCCCACCCTCAGGGTGCTGGGCCCTCATGTCCCATTTAAGTGTGGCCCTAAAGGCTGACAGAGTTTTCTTTTCCCAACAGGTACATGGTCCATCCCTCCAGGCCCCTTAGAGAGGGACTCAGCAAAGAGACTGAGGGAGATGGGATGTGCCAGGGTTTCCTGCTAGGAGCCTCGTCTTTCCACCCCTTCTCTGTTTCCTGTGAGAACACAGTGCTCCTCCCCTCCAGAAGATGAAGGAACAGGGCACCATCCTGGAAGCAAAGGGAGCAGCCCCCGCCAGACCCCAAGTCTGCTGGAGCCTTCATCTTGGACTCCCCAACCTCCAGAGTTCTGAGAAAATAAAGTTCTGTTGTTTACAAATTACCCAGTCCACAGAGTCGTGTTCCAGCAGCATAAGGGACTAAGACACTGTCAACACTTGTTAATTTCTGTTGTCACGCCATCGTGGTGGTTGTAAACTGGTATCACATTGTGATTTTGATTTGCGTTTCCCTGATGATTAGTGATGCTGAGCATCTTTTCACGTGCTTGTCGGCTCTTTGTGTGTCTTCTTTGAATAAATGTCTACTCAAATTCTGTCCATTTTTAAGTTGGGTTGTATGTCTTTATTGTGGTTAGGTTGTAACCGTGCTTTATACGACCAAATGCGGTGGCTCACGCCTGTAGTCCCAGCACTTTGGGAGGCCCAGGCGGGCGGATCTCCTGAGGTTGGGACTTCGAGACCAGCCTGACCAACATGGAAAACCCCATCTCTACTAAAAATACAAAAAAAAAATTGGCCGGGCGTGCTGGCACATGCCTGTAATCCCAGTTACTCGGGAGGCTGAGGCAGGAGAAGCCCTTGAACCCGAGAGGCAGAGGTTGTGGTAAGCCGAGATCGCACCATCGCACTCCAGCCTGGGCAACAACAGTGAAGCTCCCTCTCAAAATACTACTACTCAAAATACAAAATACTACTACTACTACTACTACTAATAATAATAGTAATAATAGTGCTTTATATATTCTGGATAGTAGATTTTTTTATCAGATATGTGATTTGCAATTTCTCCCATTCTGAGCGTTGTCTTTTCACATTTTCTCTCTCTCTGTCTCTCTCTCACTCTCACTCTCTCTCCCTCTCTCTCTCTAAGAAACAGGGTCTTGCTGGGCGCGGTGGCTCACGCCTGTAATCCCAGAACTTTGGGAGACCGAGGTGGGCGGATCACAAGGTCAGGAGATTGAGACCATCCTGGCTAACACAGTGAAACCTCATCTCTACTAAAAATACAAAAAATTCGCTGGGCATGGTGGCAGCGCCTGTAGTCCCAGCTACTCGGGAGGCTGAGGCAGGAGAATGGCGTGAACCCGGGAGGTGGAGCTTGCAGTGAGTGCAGATCGTGCCATGCACTCCAGCCTGGGCAACAGAGCGAAACTCCATCCCCCCCGCAAAAAAAGAAACAGGGTCTCATTCTGTCTCCCAGGCTAAAGTGCAATGACATAATCATAGCTCACTACAGCCTCAAACCCCTGGGCTCAAGTGATCCTCCCACTTTAGCCTCCCAAGTAGCTGGGACTATTGGTGTGCACCACCACACCTGGCTAATTTATTATTATTATTATTTTTTTTTTTTGAGAAGGAGTCTTGCTCTGTCGACCAGGCTAGAGTGCAGTGGCGTGATCTCAGCTCACTGCAACCTCCACCTCCTGGGTTCAAGCGATTCTTGTGCCTCGGCTTCCCGAGTAACCGGGATTACAGGCACGCATCACCATGCCTGGCTAATTTTTGTATTTTTAGTAGAGATAGAGTTTCACCATGTTGGCCAGGCTGGTCTCAAACTCCTGACTTCAAGTGATCCACCCGCCTCGGCCTTCCAAAAGCGTTGGGATTACAGGCGTGAGCCACCATACCTGGCCGACAGTGTTCTTTGATGCACAAAAGTTTTTAATCTTGATAAAGTATAAATTTATCTATTGTTATTGTCGCATCGCATGTGACTTTGGTGACATCTGAGCACCCATTGCCAAATCCAAGGCATTAAGATTTGCCCCAGTGTTTTCTCTAAGAGTTTTATACCTTTAACTGTTATACTTAGGTCTTTGGTCCCTTTTGATTATAGTGTGAGGAAAGACCTCAGCTTTATTTTTTTGCATTAGGATATCTGGCTAGCCCAGCATCATTTATTGAAGAGATTGTTCTCTGTGAAATGGCTTTGAAATATTATTGGTTGAAGAATTGTTTTTCTGAGTTCCCTTGCTTCAGTAGCAAATATACTAAAAACTGGAATGATACAGAGAAGATTAGGATGGCCCCTGGGCAAGGATGACATGCAAATTTGTGAAGTGTTCATTTTATTAGAAATAAAAATTAAATTACAAATTTTTTAAGGAATTGTTTTTTGGATATACAATTCTTGGTTGACAGTTTTTTTCTTTCATCATTTTAAATATGCCAACCTTCTGGCCTCCACGGTTTCTGACGAGAAATCAGCTGTTAATTTTATTGAGGATCCCTTATATGTGACAAGTTTACTTCTCTTGTGATGCTTTGAAGATTCTCTCTTTTGCTGGATAGGAGTGAAGCAAGACGGCAAAATAGGACTTTACAGTGATTGTCCCGCCACAGAAACATCAATTTGAACAACTATTCATGCTTGAAAATATCTTCACGCGAGCTCAGGAAACCAGGTGAGAGATCGCAGTACCTGGCTGTAGCATAATGAGAAATTATACACTGGCGAGGGTAGGATAGGCGGTTTTAAATTACCCACATCATCCTTCCCCAGCCCCAGGCAGCACAGAATTGAGAGACATGCCATCCTCTGGGGACGAAGAGAGGGAAGTGAACAAAGGACTTTTCCTTAGACCCCAATACCAGGCCCAGCACCAGGAAAACCCCCACATCCCATATTCCAGGCCAGTAATCATGGACTGAGACTCTAAACCCACCCTCAGATCACACCATATACAAAAATTAACTCAAAATGAATTAATGACTTAAATGTAAGTACCAAATTATGAAACTACTAAAAGAAAACGTAGGGGAAAATCTCCATGGCACTGGCCTGGGTAAGGAGTTTTTGAGAAAACCCCCAAAGCATAGGCAACAGAAGCAAAAATAGATAACTGGGATTACATCAAGCTATAAAGTTTCTTTTTTCTTTTTTATTTTTTTGAGACAGGGTCTCACTCTGTTGCCCAGGCTGGAGTGCAGTAGTGTGATCACAGCTCACTGCCACCTTGACCTCCAGGCTCAGGTGATTTTTTAAAATTTACTTTTATTTTTGTATGTATCTAAAATATTTCAAAAGCATATAAAATGTATATTCAGACACACTGTTACATTTCTTCCCTCAGCCTTACTATGACCATACCGTGTAGTTAACCATATAGTATGGTAAATTCACATTTCTTCCCTCAGCCTATGACCATACCGTGTAGTTAACCATATAGTATGGTAAATTCACATTTCTTCCCTCAGCCTATGACCATACCGTGTAGTTAACCATATAGTATGGTAAATTCACATTTTTTCAGCCTATGACATACGTGTATTACCATATAGTATGGCAAATTCACATTTCTTCCCTCAGCCTTACTATGACCATACCATGTAGTTAACCATATAGTATGGTAAATTCACATTTCTTCCCTCAGCCTTACTATGACCATACCGTGTAGTTAACCATATGGTATGGTAAATTCACATTTCTTCCCTCAGCCTTACTATGACCATACCGTGTAGTTAACCATATGGTATGGTAAATTCACATTTCTTCCCTCAGCCTTACTATGACCATACCGTGTAGTTAACCATATGGTATGGTAAATTCACATTTCTTCCCTCAGCCTTACTATGACCATACCGTGTAGTTAACCATATAGTATGGTAAATTCACATTTCTTCCCTCAGCCTTACTATGACCATACCGTGTAGTTAACCATATAGTATGGTAAATTCACATTTCTTCCCTCAGCCTTACTATGACCATACCGTGTAGTTAACCATATAGTATGGTAAATTCACATTTCTTCCCTCAGCCTATGACCATACCATGTAGTTAACCATATAGTATGGTAAATTCTATATTTTTTGTTCTTCCTGGGTGTCTTTTCTTTTTATTATACTTAAGTTCTGGGATACATGTGCAGAACGTGCAGGTTTGTTACACAGGTATACAAGTGCCATGGTGGTTTGCTGTACCCATCAACCCATCATCTACATTAGGTATTTCTTCTAATGTATCCCTTCCCTTGCCCCTCATCCCCAACAGGTCCCAGTGTGTGATGTTCCCCTCCCTGTGCCCATATGTTCTCATGGTTCAACTCCCACTTATGAGTGAGAACATGTCGTGTTGGGTTTTCTGTGTTAGTTTGCTGAGAATGATGGTTTCCAGCTTCATCCATGTCCCTGCAAAGGACACGGACTCATTCTTTTTTATGGCTGCATAGTATTCCATGGTGTATATGTGCCACATTTCTTTTATCCAGTCTATCCTTGATGGGCATTTGGGTTGGTTCCAAGTCTTTGCTATTGTGAACAGTGCTGCAATAAACATATGTGTACATGTGTCTTTATAGCAGAATGATTTATAATCCTTTGGGTATATACCCAGTAATGGGATTGCTGGTCAAATGGTATTTCTAGTTCTAGGTCCTTGAGGAATCGCCATACTGTTTTCCACAATGGTTGAACTAATTTACATTCCCACCAACAGTGTAAAAGCGTTCTTATTTCTCCACATCCTCTCCAGCATCTGTTGTTTCCTGACTTTTTAATGATAGCCATTCTAATTGGTGTGAGACGGTATCTCATTGTGGTTTTGATTTGCACGTCTCTAATGACCGGTGATAATGAACTTTTTTTCAAATGTTTGTTGGTTGCATAAATGTCTTCTTTTGAAAAGTGTCTGTTCATATCCTTTGCCCACTTTTTGATGGTTTTTTTTTTTCCTGTAAATTTGTTTAAGTTCTTTGTAGATTCTGGATATTAGCCCTTTGTCAGATGGATCGATTGCAAAAGTTTTCTCCCATTCTGTAGGTTTGTCTGTTTACTCTGATCATAGCTTCTTTTGCTATGCAGAAGCTCTTTAATTTAATTAGATCCCATTTGTGAATTTTGGCTTTTGCTGCCATTGCTTTTGGTATTTTAGTCATGAAGTCTTTGCCCATGCCTGTGTCCTAAATGGCATTGCCTAGGTTTTCTTCTAGGGTTTTTACAGTTTTAGTTCTTATGCTTAGATCTTTAATCCAGCTTGAGTTAATTTTTGTATAAGGTGTAAGGAAGGTGTCCAGTTTCAGTTTTCTGCATATGACTAGCCAGCTTTCTCAACACCATTTATTAAATAGGGAATCCTTTCCCCATTGCTTGTTTTTGTCAGGTTTGTCAAAGATCAGATGGTTGTAGATGTGTGGTGTTATTTGGGAAGGCTCTGTTCTGTTCCATTGTTCTATATATCTGTTTTGGTGCCAGAACCAAGCTGTTTTGGTTACTGTAGACTTGTAGTATAGTTTAAAGTCAAGATAGTGTGATGCCTCCAGCTTTGTTCTTCTTGCTTAGGATTGTCTTGGCTAAATGGGCTCTTTTTTGGTTCCATATGAAATTTAAAGTAGTTTTTTTCTAATTCTGTGAAGAAGGTCAATGGTAGCTTGATGGGAATAGCATTGAATCTATAAATTACTTTGGGCAGTGTGGCCATTTTCACGATACTGATTCTTCCTATCCATGAGCATGGAATGTTTTTCCATTTGTTTGTGTCCGCTCTTATTTCCTTAAGCAGTGGTTTGTAGTTCTCCTTGAAGAGGTCCTTTGTATCCCTTGTAAGTTGTATTCCTAGATATTTTATTCTCTTCATAGCAATTGTGAATGGGCGTTCACTCATTATTTGGCTCTCTGTCTATTATTGGTGTTTAGGAATGCTTGTGATTTTTGCACATTGATTTTGTATCCTGAGACTTTGCTGAAGTTGCTTATCAGCTTAAGGAGTTTTTGCACTGAGACAATGGGGTTTTCTAAATGTACAATCATGTCATCTGCAAACAGAGATAATTTGGCTTCCTCTCTTCCTATCTGAATACCCTTTATTTCTTGCTCTTGCCTGATTGCCCTGGCCAGAACTTCCAATACTATGTTGAATAGGAGTGGTGAGAGAGGGCATCCTTGTCTTGTGCTTGTTTTCAAAGGGAGTGCTTCCAGTGTTGGCCCATTCAGCATGATATTGGCTGTGGGTTTGTCATAAATAGCTTTCATTATTTTGAGATACATTCCATCAATACCTAGGTTATCGAGTGTTTTTAGCATCAAAGGCTGTTGAATTTTATTGAGGGCCTTTTCTGCATCTATTGAGATAATCATGTGGTTTTTGTCATTGGTTCTGTTTATGTGATGGATTACATTTATTGAATTGCATATGTTGAACCAGCCATCCCAGGGATGAAGCTGACTTGATTGTGGTTAATAAGCTTTTTGATGTGCTGCTGGATTTGGTTTACCAGTATTTATTGAGGATTTTTGCATCAATTTTCATCAGGGATATTGGCCTAAAATTTTTTTGTGTGTGTCTCTGCCAGGTTTTGGTAGCAGGATAATGCTGGCCTCATAAAATGAGTTAGGGAGGATTGCCTCTTTTTCTATTGCTTGGAATAATTTTGGAAGGAATGGTACCAGTTCCTCTTTGTACCTCTGGTAGAATTCGGCTGTGAATCCATCTGGTCCTGGGCTTTTTTTGGTTGGTAGGCTCTTAATTACTGCCTCAATTTCAGAACTTGTTATGGTTCTTTTCGGGGATTGGACTTCTTCCTGGTTTAGTCTTGAGAGGGTGTATGTATCCGGGAATTTATCCATTTCTTCTATCTTTTTTTTTTTTTTTTTTTTGAGACGGAGTCTGGCTCTGTCGCCCAGGCTGGAGTGCACTGGCTCCATCTCGGCTCACTGCAAGCTCCACCTCCTGGGTTCGCACCATTCTCCTGCCTCAGCCTCCCGTGTAGCTAGGACTACAGGCGCCCGCCAACATGCCCAGCTAATTTTTTGTATTTTTAGTAGAGACAGGGTTTCACTGTGTTAGCCAGGGTGGTCTTGATCTCCTGACCTCGTGATCTGCCCTTCTCAGTCTCCCAAAGTGCTGGGATTACAGGCGTGAGCCACCGCACCCGGCCTTCTTCTAGATTTTCAAGTTTATTTGTGTAGAGGTGTTTATAGTATTATCTGATGGTAGTTTGTATTTCTATGGGGTCAGTGGTGATATCCCCTTTATCATTTTTTTTGTGTCTATTTGATTCTTCTCTTTTCTTCTTTCTTAGTCGGCTCAGGTGATTTTTCCACCACAGCCTCCCAAGTAACTGGGAGGACAGGTGCATGCCATTATGCCCAGCTGAGTTTTGTTTTTTGAATTTCTTTTTGGTACAGACAGAGTTTTGCCATGTTACCCAGGCTGGTCTTGAGCTCCTGGGCTCAAGCAGGCTGCTCACCTCAGCCTCCCAAAGTGCTGGGATTACAGGTGTGAGCCACTGCGCCCAGCTCTAAAACGCTTCTGCACAGCGAGGGAAAAAATCAGCAGAGTGAAGAGACAATCTTCAGAATGAGAGAGAACACTTGCAAACTACTCATCTGCTACAAAGTCGGCATCTAAAATATACAAGGAACTCAAACAGCTCAACAGCAAGACAATAACCCAGTTTTTTAAATGGGCAGAGGACCTGAATAGATATTTCCTAAAAGAAGTAATTTATATATATTCTGGATAGTAGGTTTTTATGAGATATGTGATTTGCAATTTCTTTCTCCCATTTTGTGGGTTGTCTTTTCACTTTCTGTCTTTTTTTTTTTTTTTTTTTTTTTTGATGGAGTCTCACTCTGTCACCCAGGCTGGAGTGCCGTGGCGCAATCTGGGCTCACTGCAACCTCTGCCTCCCAGGTTCAAACGTTTCTCCTCCCTCAGCCTCCCGAGTAGCTGGGATTACAGGCACACGCCACCATGCCCGGCTAATTTTTGTATTTTTAGTAGAGATGGGGTTTCAACGTGTTGGCCAGGCTGATCTTGAACTCCTAGCCTCAGGTGATCCACCTGCCTCAGCCTCCCAAAGTGCTGGGATTACAGGCTTGAGCCACCGCGCCCGGCCAGTATATTGTAATCTTAAAAATGCTAACATAATGGATGTATTCTCACCACAGAAAATCACTGTGAGATTATGCATATGTTAATTATCTAGGTTCAGTCACTCCACAATGTATATATACTTTAGAACATATCTGGTGGAATCTCCAAAAAAGCTACTGAAACTAATAAATGAATTTAGCAAGACTGCAGGATACAACCAGATCAAGGTGATAAAGTCAATTTTATTCCCATATATTAACAATGAATTGCAAATTAACATATTAATTCTCCCCAAATTGATCCATAGATTTAATGCAGTTCCAATTAAAATCCAGTAGGTTTTCTTAAATATAGAAATTGAAAAGTTGTTTCTAAAAGTCACAACATGGCACATGTATACATATGTAACAAACCTGCACATTGTGCACATGTACCCTAGAACTTAAAGTATAATAAAAATAAATAAATAAATACAAATTAAAAATTAAAAATTTTAAAAAGAAAAGAAAATTAAAAGCACCTACGAGAGATTAGAGGCTTCTCAGGAAAAAAGAAAGAAAGAAAAAAAATGAAAATTAAAAGCAACTAGAAGAGCCAAAGTCATTCTGAAAAACATGAACAAAGTTAGAAGGGTAACACTACCTAAATTCAATACTTATCACAAAGCGATATAATCAGACTTGTGTGGGATTGGCATAATAAAGAATTGATTAATGGAAAACAGAGTGCAGAAATAGACGCACATATACTGGGAGAACTAATTTTTGACAAATATTTGAAGGCAACTCATTAAACAACGGACAATCGGGCACTGTTTCTCTTCATACTGAAAAATTATTTAATATTTCTTGTAATGTAGATTTTCTGTTAGTAAATTATTTCAGCTTTTGTTCATTTAAAATATCTTTATTTCACCTTCATTTCTGATGGCATTTTCAATAGATGTGTAATTCTGATTAATAGATTGTTTTTTCTTTCAGAACTTCAAAGGAGCTGTTTCATTTTCTATGAGTTCTGTTATTTCTGGTGAGAATAACACGGTCATTCCTACTGTTGTTTTCCTATATGTACTGCATCCTTTTCTTCTGACTTCTTTCAAGATATTCTATTTTTTTTTTTTTACTCAGCAATTCTACTTTAATGTGGCTGGGGTGTCTGTTCATACTGCTTGGAGTTTACTGAGCTTCTCGGATATATGGATTGCAATTCTTATCAAAATTAGAAAAAATTTGGAACCATTTTTTCAAATATTTTTCTGCCCCGATATATCTCCTTCTAAGGCTCTGATTACATTTGCTTAGAGTGCTTGATATGTCCCTGCAGACCACCAAAGCTCTATTCTTTTTGTATTTCTCTGTGGGCTTTAAATTGGATAGTTTTTATTGACCTGCCTTCAGATTTGCTAATCCTTTCTTTGCACTATTGATTTTCCTAAGTCCATCCTGTGAAGTTTTAATTTCCGATATTGTATCTGTTAGTTCTAGAATTTCTAATTTTTCTTTTTCACACTTTCATGTCTGTGCTGAGTCCCCATCTGTTTACTATTTCTACGCTTTTCTTTAAATCCTTGAATTTCTTGTGACAGCTGGTCAAAAAACATTAGCTGCCAATTCTATAATCTTTGTCATCTTTGGATTTGTTTCTATTAACCCTTTCTTTTTTTCTTCTTTTTGTTTTTTTTTTGTTTTTTTTTTTTTGAGATGGAGTCTCGCTCTGTCCCCCAGGCTGGAGTACAATGGTGCAATCTCGGCTCACTGCAAGCTCTGCCTCCCAGGTTCAAGCGATTCTCCTGCCTCAGCCTCCTGAGTAGCTGGGATTACAGGTGCATGCCACCACTCCCGGCTAAATTTTGGCTTACTGTTTGGAAAGTTCTCCCGGGCAAAAAGCTAGGATTAATAAGGAACTTAGCACATGTATTTCTCTTCTTTCAAAGTCACATTTCTGCAGTTTTACTCCATCTATTTTCTACAATATTATTGCTGTCTAAAACACAAAGCTGAATCCAAATCTTGTTTCTCTGTCATGGCTAGAGCTGCAAATCCTCCATCCTATTTTTCTCCATTGTTGAATGTGAATGGAGTGTTAAAGATTACCACACATTTGAGGAAAGCTTCTTATATCAAGTCTAGAGAACAAAACTAACAGGCAAACAAACAAACAAGAGCTTGAATGAGGCAGAAACCACACATGGAAAGAAAGGCTTTAAAAATAAGCCTCTTATGGCCAGGCGCGGTGGCTCATGCCTGTAATACCAGCACCTTGGGAGGCCGAGGCAGGCGGATCACGAGGTCAGGAGATCGAGACCATTCTGGTTAACACAGTGAAATCCCATCTCTATTAAAAATACAAAAATTAGCCGGGCGTAGTGGAAGGCGCCTGTAGTCTCAGCTACTCAGGAGGCCGAGGCAGGAGAATAGCGTGAACCCAGGAGGCAGAGGTTGCCGTGAGCGGAGATCATACCACTGCACTTCAGCCTGGGCAATAGAGCGAGACTCCATTAAAAAAAAAATCCTCTTATTAATATACCCAGGGAGGTAGTGCATCCATGATTCAAGAACAGAATTTTATATTTTAATAAAAGAGTGAGACCATGTGCGGTGGCTTACACCTGTAATCCCAGCACTTTGGGAGGCAACGCAGGCAGATCATGAGGTCTGAAGTTTGAGACTAGTCTGGCCAACATGGTGAAATCCCATCTCTACTAAAAATACAAAAATTAGCCGGGCGTGGTGGTCCATGCCTGTAATCCCAGCTGCTCAGGAGACTGAGGCATGAGAATCATTTGAAGCTGAGGTGGAGGTTGCAGTGAGCTGAGACTGTACCACTGTACTCCAGTGTGACACAGTAAAACTCGGTCTCTAAATAAGTAGATAAGTAAATAAAAATAAAAGAGTGAGAAACTACAGAGAAAAAAACCTGTTTTTAGAAAATAAATACGTGGGCCAGGTGTGGTGACTCACACCTGTAATCCCAGCACTTTGGGAAGCCAAGTTGGGTGATCATCTGAGGTCAGGAGTGCGAGACTAGCCTGGCCAACATGATGAAACCCCCTGTCTACTAAAAATACAAAAATTAGCTGGGCGTGGTGGTGCATGCCTATAATCCCAGCTGCTCAGGAGGCTGAGGCAAGAGAATCACTTGAACCTGGGAGGTGGAGTTGCAGTGAGCTGAGATCACACCATTGCACTCCAACTCCATCTCAAAAATAAATAAATAAATAAATAAAATACAAAATTAGCTGGGTGTGGTGGCACACATCTGTAGTCTCAGCTACTAGGGAGGCTGAGACAGGAGAACTGCTTGAACCTGGTGAGAGGTGAAGCCAGCTGGACTTCCTGGGTGGAGTGGGGATTTGGAGAACTTTTCTGTCTTACAAGAGTGTTGTAAAATGCACCAATCAGCATTCTGTAGCCAAGATTGTAAAACACACCAATCAGCACTCTGTAGCTAGCAAGAGGATTGTAAAATGCAACAATTAGTGCTCTGTAAAAACGTACCAATCAGTACTCTGTAGCCAGCAAGAGGATTGTAAAATGTGTCAATCAGCACTCTGTAAAATGCACCAATCAGTGCTCTGTAAAACGCACCAATCAGCAGGATCCTAAAAGTAGCCAATTGCAGCTGGGTGCGGTGGCTCACGCCTGTATTCCCAGCACTTTGGGTGGCTGAGTAGGGCAGATCACGAGGTCAGGAGATTGAGACCATCCTGGCTAACACAGTGAAACCTCCTCTCTACCGAAAATACAAAAAATTAGCCAGGCATGGTGGTGAGCGCCTGTAGTCCCAGCTACTCGGGAGGCTGAGGCAGGAGAATGGCGTGGACCTGGGAGGCGGAGCTTGCAGTGAGCTGAGATCGTGCCACTGCACTCCACCCTGGGTGACAGAGTGACACTCCGTGTCAAAAAAGAAAAGAAAAAAGTAGCCAATCGCAGGGAGGATTGAAAAAAGGGCACTCTGATAGGACAAAAACGGAACATGGGAGGGGACAAATAAGGGAATAAAAGCTGGCCATCCCCCAGCCAGCCCTGGCAACCCTTCAGGTCTCCTTCCACCTCTGGAAGCTTTGTTCTTTCACTCTTCACAATAAACCTTGCTACCACTCACTCTTTGGGTCCATGCCATCTTTAAGAGCTGTAACACTCACCGCGAAGGTCCACCGCTTCATTCTTGAACTCAGCCACACCAGGAACCCACCAGAAGGAACCAACTCCGGACACACCAGGTGGCAGAGGCTGCAATGAGCTGAGACTGTGCCACTGCACTCCAGCCTAGGTGAAACAGCGAAATTCCATCTCAAAAAAAGAAAAGAAAAACATCACAAAAATATAAAGTTCAACAGACAGATGGAAAATATGAGGGGCAGAAAAGATTTTTAAATTGCTAATCCAGCCCAAGAAGTCTAATATCTGAATAACAGGAGTTTCAGAGAAAACAGAGGAGACAGAGATACCAAATAAATAGTCAAGAAACTACCAGAAGCATACGTCTCCAGAATGAAAAAAAAGCACTGCCCAGAACAAGTGCTCTGCACAATTGATGAAAATACACCAACATTAAAGTACATCACTATGAAATGTTAGCACATTGAATGAAAAGCACATATTTTATATGCTCCCAGATAAAAAGGGGGGGGAAATAAAATAGTTTCCATAAAAGAAAGATCAATCAGAATGCTTCAGATGTCTTCACAGCAGCTCTGGAAGGAAGCAAGCATCTTCAGAATTATGGGGAAAAATAACACTTGCAACTTAGATGTATATATCCTGGAAAGCCACCAATCATGTATAAGGGTAGATTAAAGACATTTGCAGACATACAGGTTCTCAAAATAATTATCTCCTATGCTTCTGGTTTCTAGAAGCTACTATAGAATGTGTTAATAATACAGGGGGAAAAAAACAGAAAAGAGGAGTCATAGAGTCCAAGAAAGAGACTCGAGCTCAGGAGTGAGGCAAAGGAGAGGCCCTGAGGGAGGGTGACAGGAGGTGCCTGGGTGAAAGCTAGTACCGAGCACGAGGGTCACCTATCCAGACACGAGCAGAGCAGGAGGCCTCACGAGAGAGTTCAAGAAGTTAAATCTGCAAAGGAAGCTAATGTGTTTTTATGCAACTGAAAGTAGATTTATCTAACCAGGGAAATGTTCGGGGATAAAATTAGTGATAAGTGGCCCGATGCGGTGGCTCACACCTGCAATCCCAGCACTTTGTGAGGCTGAGGCAGGTGGATCTCCTGAGGTCAGGAGTTTGAGACCAGCCTGGCCAACAGGGTGAAACCGTGTCTCTATTAAAAATATAAAAATTAGCCAGGTGTCATGGCGAGTACTGGTAATACCAGCTACTGAGAAGGCTGAGGCAGGAGAATCACTTGAACCCGGGAGGTGGAGGCTGCAGTGAGCCCAGATGGCACCACTGCCCTCCAGCCTGGGCAACAGAGAGAGACTCCATCTCAAAAAAAAAAAAAAAAATTAGTGATAAATACAGAGAGAAATAGATGACAGTCATTGCCTCTAGTACAAACAAAAGCTGTTCTAGGACATGGAAAGTAATTACAGTACCACATGGTTCAGCTGTGAATAGCATTTACATATTCACAATGCCATTACAATCTAGCCAAAATGCCATTAAAACTGCATATTCTTGGGAAGATGAGAGATTAAAAGTGGGTGTGGGGGTTAGGGACAGAGAGGGAAGGAAAGAGCCTAATTTTCATCTTGGATTGTGGAAACACAATAAATGCAGCTTAAAATGAAACAATCAAGAACGAGAATAGAAGCTGCTATTTAGAGATATGGAAGTTAATGCCTAAAGAATCAAACAGAAGAACAGGAAATGAAGAGACTGCTGTTCTTGGTATAATTCTTCAACATTTTGTTTTAATTTTTAAGGATTACTTCCAAAGGGTAGGTTCTAAAAAGTGAAAGTATTGGACCAATTATGTACCCTTTTTGTTGTTGCTGTTGTTTTTTGAGACGGAGTCTCGCTCTGTCGTCCATGCTGCAGTGCAGTGGCACAATCTCAGCTCACTGCAAGCTCCACCTCCGGGGTTCACGTCATTCTCCTGCCTCAGCCTCTGGAGTAGCTGGGACTACAGGCGCCCGCCACTATGCCCGGCTAATTTTTTGTATTTTTAGTAGAGATGGGGTTTCACCGTGTTAGCCAGGATGGTCTCGATCTTCTGACCTCGTGATCCACCCGCCTTTGCCTCCCAAAGAGCTGGGATTACAGGCGTGAGACCCCGCGCTCGACATTTTTGTTTGTTTTTAGAGACAGGGTATCACTCTGTCACCTAGATCGGAGTCCAGTGGTGGAATCACAGCTCACTGCACTCTCAAACTCCTGGGCTCAAGCAATCCTCCTGCCTCAGCCTCCCAAATAGGTGGGGCTACAGGCGTGCATCACCATACCTGGCTAATTTTTTTGTATTTTTTTGTAGAGACAGGGTCTCCCTGAGGCAGGGAACCTAAGGCCAATTAGTGCTGACTTCCTAGAATTGAATCAAAATGAAAACCCCAACTTTCCACACCCAAGTAACAAAAGGATCAGAGGCTACTCCCTTTGCAACTGCCTCCACCTTTCTGTGAGGCAGATGAAAAATGGAAAGTGCCTCTGATTGATCCCTTTCTGCAACCAATCAGACTGGTCATGGGCCAGGTCTTCAATTGCATAGGGTAAAACTTTGTAACTTAACTTCAGCCTCTCATTGGTCCCCTCCTGTAACCAATCAGACGTTTGCACAGGGTATAACTCTGTAACTGCACTTCAGCCTGGGTTGCCTTCTGCAATCAGTCAGACTGGTCAGGGGCCACTCCTTCATTTACATAAGGTATAACCAAGTAACCAATGGGAAACCTCTAGAGGGTATTTAAACCCCAGAAAATTCTGTCACCAGGACTCTTGAGCCACTTACTGGAACCCACTCCCACTCTGTGGAGTGTACTTTCGTTTCAATAAATCTGTGCTTAATTCTTTCATTGCTTTGTGCATTTTGTCCAATTTCACGTTGAAAACACCAAGAACCTGGACAACTCGTAGTCAAGACCCTCCACCGGTAACATCACTATATTGCCCAGGCTGGTCTTGAGCCCCTCCTGAAGCAATCCTCCAGCACTGGCCTCCCAAAGTGTTGGGCTTACAGATGGCAGTCACTGCACCCGGCTGGTGTACTGTTTAAACGTTTTTGCCACATTTCAACCTATCCTCCTTTACAGAGTTGTATCAGCTCTGTTCCATGGGTGATCTGCTCTAATTTGGACTTCCATCCTACTTCCTGACTGTTAACTTAGGCTCTAGCCAGGCACTGAGCATCTCTGATGCAAAGGCCTGATATTTGACTGTGGGTTGCAGGACCCCAGGGAAGAGAGGGGGCCCTTTCAGAGGCCACCGGGGTAGGTTTCTGGGGAAGGTGACATTAAAACTAGAGCTTAAAGAAGGAAGAGTTTTACATGTGCGGAGGGAAGGGAAGGGCTTTCTGGTAGGAAAGGAGAGAAAACTGTTCTGTGGTTTTGTTTGTTTTTGTTTTGAAATACAGACAAGGTCTCACCTGTTGCCCAGGGCAGAGTGCAGTGGCATTCATAGGTGACAAAGTGCTAGCAGCCCTCACTCTCAGCGCCTCCTCAGCCTCAGCGTCCACTCTGGCAGCGCTTGAGGGGCCCTTCAGCCCGCCACGGCACCGTGGGAGCCCCTCTCTGGAGCCACCCGGCCGGCACCACCGGCCCAGGGCAGTGAGGGGCTTAGCACCTGGACCAGCAGCTGCGGCGGTTGTGCCGGGTCCCCCAGCAGTGCTGGCCTGCCGGCGCTGCACTCAAATTCTCGCGCGGTTTGGCTGCCTCCAGGTGGGGCAGGGTTCAGGACCTGCAGCCCACCATGTCCGAGCTCCTACCCCTGCGGTGTGCTCCCGCGAGGCCTGAGCCTCCCCGATGGGCGCTGCCCCCTCCTCCGTGGCACCCGGTCCCATCCACAGCCCAAGGGCTGAGGAGTGCAGGCACGGCTGGGGACTGGCGGGCAGCTCCACCTGCAGCCCCAGTACAGAATCCACTGGGTGAAGCCAGCTGGGCTCCTGAACTGGATGGGGACTTGGAGAACTTTTGTATCTAGCCGGAGGATCATATGTGCACCAATCAGCACTCTGTGTCTAGCTAACCTAGTGGAGACTTGGAGGACTAGCACTCTGTGACTCTGTCTCTAGCTCAAAGGATTGTAAACGCACCAATCAGCACTCTGTCAAAACGGACCAATCAGCTCTCTGTAAAGTGGATCAATCAGCTCTCTGTAAAATGGACCAATCAGCAGGATGTGGGTGGGGCCAGATAAGGGAATAAAAGCAGGCCGCCCTAGCAAGGAGTGGCAACCTGCTGGGGTCTGCTTACTGCATGTGGTCTTCGCTGTTTGCAGTAAATCTTCCTGCTGCTCACTCTGCGTCCGTGTCATATTTATGAGCTGTAACACTCGTGAAGGTCTGCAGCTTCACTCCTGAAGTTAGTGAGACCATGAAGTCACCAGAAGGAAGAAGCTCCAGACACGTCTGAGCATCAGAAGAAACAAACTCCGGACACACCATCTTTAAGAACTGTGACACCGCGAGGGTACGCGGCTTCATTATTGAAGTCAGCAAGGCCAAGAACCCACCAATTCCGGACACAATGGGACTTCAAGTCCCAACCCCCCACGGGGAAGCTCTTTCCCCTTTCTCCACCATCCCCAGGAGAGAAGCTAGTGGGGCCCTGGGGAAGACATGTGGTCAGTAAAGAGAAGCACCTATGGGAGGCGATGGATGGCCACCAAGCTGGCCCCCAGCAGGAGTCGGTGGTGAAGCACAAGGACGTTCAGCCCCATGCTGTGTCTCAGGCCTGCCTCTCTCATGGGCAGGGAACCGCTGCTTGTGACCTGACTGGATAAGAGATAATAGCGGGGAGACATTCCCTTAGGACTTGGAGCGGCCAAGATGGAGAATCCTGAGGTGAGGCAGGCGAGCCCTGAGCACCTGGGGGAGCAGAGGCCACCTGGGTCTGCAGAGCGGGGGTGGCAGCCACAGCAGATCAGTGACATTGTTCTTCGTTCTCTGCCCCTCTTGCTCCTGGCAGTGAGCTAGGCTTTCACCTCTGCTCTTCTGATGAGGGTGCGGAGGGGATCAGTCCTCCCTGACCCATCCTCAGGTGCTCAGCTCCTTGGTGACGTGGTTTTTGTCCCTTATTCACAGTGGTGTCCTGCACACGCACTGCTGCCCACTCAGGCTGGAGAGAGGCTGTGGGCCTCACCCGTCTGTTCCCCTGACTCACAGGGCCTCAGGGCCAGACCTTCAGAGGAAGGAATTGCTCCGAATGTAAACAGCCCCCAGGAGAGTGATTCTCAGAGGGACCCTAAGCTTGCCAGCAGAGAATGGCCCCCCAGTGGTGCCCAGGCCTCAATAGCACCCAAGTGCCAAGGAACCTTCTGGAAGTCCCAGGTTCCTGGGCCTGGGAATGTGCATCCCCAGCCATCCCCTCCTGCTTTGGGAGAGTGGGATCATGTTTTTCCAGGCGCAGCATCATGGGGAGCCACAGCCACTCTCCGGGAGCCACATAGCCCCTGCTGCCCCAGCGGTGGTTCACCAAGCTCCTGGGCTCCGCAGGCCACGTCGGGGGGGGGGCCTGCTCAGCCCTGGAGGCTGCATATTCTGAGAGCAGTCTTTTCCCAGGAGCCCAACCATGAGTGTCTGTGGAAACAAAGGACGCTCCAGGTGAGGCTGGGTCTCCCCAGGGAGGGACAGTGGTCAGCTGAACAGTGGTCCCACAGACATCAGTTCTAATCCCTGCAGCATGCAAACCTTGCCTTATATGGCATAAAGGAGCTCTGCAGGTGTGATCAAGGTAAGGATTTTTTTTTTTTTTTTTTTTTTTTGAGACGGAGTCTCGCTCTGTCACCCAGGCTGGAGTGCAGTGGTGCAATCTCGGCTCACTGCAAGCTCTGCCTCCCGGGTTCAAGCGATTGTCCTGCCTCAGCCTCCCAAGTAGCTGGGACTACAGCCACCCGCCACCACGCCCTGCTAAATATTTTTTGGTATTTTTAGTAGAGACGGGGTTTCACCGTGTTAGCCAGGATGGTCGATGGTCTTGATCTCCTGACCTCATGATCTGCCTGCCTCAGCCTCCCAAAGTGCTGGGATTACAGGCCCTGCCAGGATTTTTTTGAGATGGAGTCTTACTCCCTTGCCCAGGTTGGAGTGCAGTAGCACGATCTCGGCTCACTGCAAACTCCACCTCCTGGATTCAAGGGATTCTCCAGCTTCACCTTCCCGAGAAGCTGAGATTACAGGCACCACCATGACTGGCCAATTTTTGTATTTTTTAGTAGAGATGGGATTTCACCATGTTGGCCAGTCTGATCTCAAACTCCTGGCCTCAGCCTCCCAAAGTGCTGGGATTACAGGTGTGAGCCACCGCACCTGGCCAAGTTAAGGAACTTGGGATGGAAAGGTTGTCCTGGGTTAGCCAGGTGGGCCCTAAATGTAATCACAAGTGTCCTTATGAGAGGGAGGAAGAGAGACTACACACAGAAGAGAAAGTGGAAGAGAGATTACACAGAAGAGAACTCGATGTGACCAGGGAGGCAGAGACTGGAGGATGTGGCCATAAGCCAAGGAATGCTGGCAGCCCTTAGGAGCTGGCAGAGGCCAGGAGCAGATTCTCCTCTGGAGCCTCCAGAGGGAACCAGCCCTGCTGACACCTTGACTTTACCCCGTACAACTGACTTTAGACTTGTGGCCTCCAGAACTGTAGAGAATAAACTTGTGTTAGCCACCAAGTTGTGGTAACTTGTCGCATCAGCCATGGGGCATCTCCTCCCCGTGGAAGCCGCAGCCTGGTGGAGAGGCTTAGCAGGGCCTGTAGGAGTCATCTGGGGTTTGAGCACAAAGTCAGTAGCCTTGGAAGCTGCTCTTCTCTCTCTACACGGGTTGCAGCCACGTCTGCTCAGTGTGGTTTCAGTTCTCTGACAAGCCAGGGCTTCCCAGCCTGCCCCAGAGCAGGCCTTGCCTGCTGATGCAGCTGGGGCCCCGTCTGCAGCCCAGTCCAGCCCAGCCTGAGGGATTACTGAGAAGTCCAGGTGAGCTGGAGATGTGAGGTGGGGCTCACAGCTGGTGCCCAGCTTCCTCCAGCTCCTCCCACCCAGGCCCATCCTGCTGCTGCACCTTTCAGGGTCTCCACATCTGTCCCTAGACAGACTCTGTCCTTTCTGCAGGAGAGGGTAGAAACAGACCCTCACTGCGGGGTGGTCAGTCCCAGCACAGCCTGGGCAGAGCAGGCTTCGAAGCCTTTGGCAGGATGCTGGGCGCCTGGTGTGAGGACCAGGCCTGCCTCCCCTTATCCTCGTGGGGTCTGGAGGGCAAGATCAGACCTGGGTCTAACCCAGGTCCCACGCCCCCCACCTCACAGGGGTGGGCACGGGTCTGAGGTTGGTTGAACAAATGACTCACGCAGCCCCCGACAAAGCTGGCTTCCTCAGAAAAGTATCAGAGCCCTCCTCCCAGGCCCCCTCCTGTCTCCAGCCCACTCCCAGCTGCAAATCTCAGCAATGGGTGTGAGGTGGAGGCTCTGGGATCTTGACTCTGGAAGACTCCCTGGCCCTTCCCAGCACCTGTCTTCTGTGCCTCAGGTCCCATCAACAACGTGGTCTTGGCTCAGGCCCCCGACTCTCCCTGCCCCTGCCCCATGCATCTCCGAGGCCACCCTCTGTCCACCCTCCTCCACCTGGAGGCCCCCATGGTCTCCTGCTGCTGCACTCCGTCAGGACATCATGCTCCAGCCTCAGACTGCTGGGCTCTGAGCCTCGCTGGACTCTACTTGGTGGGGATGGAAACCCAGTGAAAATGGGATCTGAGACAAAGGACCCCACGTGTAGACGCTGGGCATCCCTGGCCAGGGCCCCGTCCCCGACCCCAGGCCTGTGCCTCCCCTGCTCCACCACCTCCCCCAGCTCAGCTGCAGTTCGTGTTGGCCTCACCCTCGCAGGCCCCAGCACTGCTGACTTCCATGCACCCAGCTCAATAAACCCGAAGAAAACAGTCCCTCCAAAAGTCCCTGAATGGTGTCTGTCATCCTGGGTTGAACTCGTGCCCACCTCAGCAGTAGGAATTTTGTCAGGGAATGGAATGCTATGGGTCAGCCTTCAGGCCTCGGCCCCAGGCCTGGTGTGGGGCATAGAAAGGGCCATCTCGCTGGAACCCCATCTACTGAGTGGGACAGGAGAGAACCCTAAGGGAGCCACCATAAGAGGGAGTGGCTACTCACCAAAGATGCCCACATCTGCTGTGTCTCCTGCAGGTGCCCCTAGTGAGAGGTGAAGCCAGCCGGACTTCCTGGGTCGAGTGGGGACTTGGAGAACTTTTCTGTCTTACAAGAGGATTGTAAAATGCACCAATCAGCACTCTGTAGCTAGGATTGTAAAACACACCAATCAGTGCTCTGTGGCTAGCTAGAGGTTTGTAAAATGTGCCAATCAGCACTCTGTAAAAATGCACCAATCAGCGCTTTGTGGCTGGCTAGAGGTTTGTAAAACGGACCAATCAGCACTCTGTAAAATGGACCAATCAGCAGGACTTGGGCAGGGACAAATAAGGAAATAAAAATGCTGGCCACCCACCCCACCCCTGGCCAGTAGCAGCAATTCCCTAGGGCCCCGTTCCACGCTGTGGAAGTTTTGTTTCACTCTTCACAATAAATCTTGCTGTTGCTCAGTCTTTGGGTCTGTGCCACCTTTGAGAGCTGTAACACTTAGTGCGAAGGTCCACAGCTTCATTCTTGAAGTCAATGAGACTAGGGAACTCCGGACACACCACCTTTAAGAGCTTTAACACTCAACACGAAGGTCCACAGCTTCATTCCTGAAGTCAGCGAGACTACGAACCCACCGGAAGGGACAAACTCTGGACACACTAGGTGCACCCCACCTCCCTGCTGCTGACAGGCTGCTCGCCCTGGCACTGGTGCTTCTGGCCACTGAGCGTGCCGTGTGGTCCTCTCTGCCCTAGGGAGCCTGCTGGCCGGCATCTGCCTCAGCCCCAGCATCATGGCCTCAGCCCTTTGTAGGGACCAGACTGATTCCTGCCAGGAAACCCCCCTCACCTTCCCCACTCAGAAACGACAGGGACAGGCAGCAGGGGAGTGAAGACACGTCTGCCACATAACACCCTGGAGAATCGTGTGTCAACCTCTGTAACCTCAGTTTCCTCATCTGCAAACTGACCTGCCTGGGCTAGGGGGAGGCTAAAAGGCCCTGTCCAAACGTGAGCCGGCCCACAGTCCAGGCAGTTGCTGTACGTGGCTGAGTCAAGAGAAGGTGCCTTGGACTGGAGTGTGTCCCCAGTTCAGTAGCTCCAGGCTGGACTTGTCCATGCTAACCCGATGGCCACCTGGTAACGTTCAGCGAGGTTCACGCCCTCCAGGAAAGCTATCAGCACAGGGCACTCTGGGGACTGTGGATTGGGGCTCCGGGGTCGGGGGAGACCTGTCCAAAAGTGGCTCAGGCTAGGAGCTGCAGGTCTGGCAGGCACAGCACCTTCCCCCACGGCTACTGGCTCCCTCTCCCCAGACAACACCCGTCCAGAGCCCTGTGGCTGCGGACAGCCTGCACAGACGCCACTACGCAGAGTCCTCTCTGCCTTGCCTCGTTCCCCAGGCAGAGTAGGGATGCAGCATTTTCCATGGCTGCCCAGTACTCAGCTCAAGCTTCTGTATTCTGAGCTTCAGACCTAATGCGCTTCCACGGTTCCCAGACCTGTCCCTCAGTCACGCCACAGGCCCGTGTGGTTGTTCCCAGGTACGCCTGCCTGACCCTGTCCGGAAAATGAGCGGTCGAGCGCTCAGCCAGGCTTCCCTTCTGTGCACAGGGAGCAGAGGAGGGGTTCATGGCAGTCCCCAAGCACTGGGCACTTGGCCAGAAACAAAGGGGAGACCCTAACGCTCAGCAAAGCATGAATCTATAAAAGAAGTCTGAGGCTGGGTGCGGTGGCTCACGTCTGTAATCTCAACACTTTGGGAGGCCAGGAGTCCAAGACCAGCCTGGCCAATATGGCAAACTCCGTCTCTACTAAAAATACAAAAATTAGCTGGGTTTAGTGGCGTGCATCTGTAATCCCAGCTACTTGGGAGGCTGAGGTGGGAGGATAGTTTGAGCCTGCGAGGCAGAGGTTGCATTGAGCTGAGATTGTGCCACTGCACTCCAGCCTGGGTGACAAGAGCAAGATTCTGTCTCAAAAATAAAATTTTAGAAGTTCTGCAATTCTGCATAAAGATCAACGCTCCTCATTCCTGGGGGCTGGGGTCACCAGGGAGGCTTCCTGGAGGAGGAAGCAGGGTTGAGGAATGGGTGGCAACAGACAGTGTTTGTGGGTGAGGCTATGGTGCTGCTGGGGAGGCAGGTGCGGCAGCTTGGGCTGGGGCTTTCCAGAAGCCAGAAGGCCGGGCGGAGTGGGTTGTTCCTCGTCTTGTCCTCCTGCCCTGGCCACAGCCGGGAAGCCCTGGGCAGGTGCCCGTGGACAGCTAGCACGCTCAGCCTTTGGTGGAGCACTGAGATGAGCTGGGAGGACTAATGGGAGGGAGGAGAGGTGTCCTGGGGCCCCAGGGCGAGGCCCTGCTTTGCACTCAAGATAAGAACCCAGGGCTCTAAGGGGAGGTGGTGAGGAAGGGAGCCGCCCGTCCCGCTGTATTCAAGGAGAGACACATCTGGGGTCAAATTGGAGCTGATGGGGACTGTGTTTTGGTCCTGAGTCAGCCCCGGGAGGTCCCCTCTTCCCCCCGGTCCAGAAGGTCTGAAGCAGGAAGGTGGAAAAACATTTCACATGCTCAGGGAGGAAATGCCTTCACCCCAGTTTACAGATGAGGAAATGGGCTCAGAGCGTGGCTAAAGCGTCCCAAGGGCCAGGCAGGCAGGCCAGGGTGCCCAGAGTTGCTGGCTGCTGATTCTGGGCTGGGTGGAGGAGGGGCTGACGGCCCGTGATGGGACAGGGACAGTTGTGATTACTGGCCTGGAGAATGGGGGGCTTGAAAGTCAGGAAGGCCACAGGAGTCGGGACAGAGAAGCCGTGGCTTAAAAGTGTCCCCTAGAGTTCCTGTACTGGCAGCTTAGTCCCCAGTGCAATAGCACTGAGAGGCGGGACCGTTAAGAGGTGATGAGTTGACAGGGCTGGGCCCTCCCGGGTCCATCAATGCCATCATCATGGGAGTAGGTTTGTTATCAAAGTGAGTTCAGTCCCTTCGTGCTCTCTGTGTCTGGAGCACACACACCCCGTCCTTCTACTTACTGCCATAGGATGACACGTCAGCAGGGCCCTCACCAGATGCTGGCCCCTTGAGCTCAGACTTCCTGGCCTCCTTCGCTGCTAGCCTAATACATTTCTCTTCGTTGTAAATTACTCAGTCTGTGATATTCTATGTAGCAACAGAAAACTGACGAAGATGCAAGCCGAAGTGAGGTCAGATGGGAATGGGGCCCAGTGTGAGTCAGGATATGGGCTGGCCCAGGGCGCAGAGGTCAGGAGCAGGACATCGGGGCCAGAGCTCAGGGTTACCTGGACTCTGTCAGAGGCCTCTGGGGTCTGCTGGATCTAGCCTCGCCACGCTGGTGTTTGAGGCCCTCTGCACTCCCATCCTGACCCCTGCTGTCATCCCACAGCCCCCTGCAGCCAGGTTGGTCTCTTTCATCTCCTGTGCACATGCTTCAGTCTCATCTCTCACCCTCGACTCTGCCCAAAATAGTCTGTACTTACAAAGAGCCTGCCCCTCTTTCCAGCTTTATCTCAGGAAGCTTTTCCCAACCCCTTCAGCCCCAGGGACCTGAGAGATTTCTCTGGATTATGGAATGCACTGGCCGGCCACTCAACACCAGAGTGAACATGCGTGTCTGGTCCCGCTGTCCTCACTGCAGGAAGCTGATAGTTGTGGGGAGAGACGGACAGTAACCAGGGCAATGAGCCGATGCATCGCTGCAGCGCAGGTCCCTTGTGGGGGATGGTGCTGAGAATGGAAATGATGCACAAGGCCTCCCTGAGGTGGGGAGGAAGGGAAGGAGCCCACTACGGAGATCTGGGGGCGCACAGGAAGTCCCGGGGCTGAAAAGAGCTGGCCTGGCTGGAGGCAGAAGGTCACGGGGGAGGCTGGTGCCAGAGCCACGGGGAGAGACCCAGGCAGAGCTGGAGAGGTTGTGGCAGCAACATTGTCCTGGTGACAAGTCTGGGCTTTGTTCTGAGAGCAATGGGAAGCCACCGGAGATGCCCACACGGAAGTACGTGGGAGTGGATTAGCATTTTGGGACAGTCCCTCTGACTGTGGTGGTTAGAGGAGATTGTAGAGGTCAGCGCTGGGTCCTGGGACAGCCCTTTGTGTCATCTGATTCAAGATGATGTACTTGGACCAGGGTGGTGGCAGTGGAATGAAGAGAAGTGGATGGATTTGGGGCACAGAATCAATGAGGCTTGGGGATAAGGCTGACCGCCCAGGATTCTGGCAGAAGCGAGCAGGTGTGGTGTGCCGTTCCCTGGCGGGGACGCCTCAGACAGCAGCGACTTAGGTTGCAGGAGGAAGGCCAGGAGTGCCGCTGGGGACTGCAAGCCAGTGAAGCACTGTGTGGAGGTGTCAAGTGGACAAGTTGTCACAAGGGCCAGGCAACTCTGAGGAGGGCCCTGGGCAGACCACACTAACCATGGAGTCAAGGAACTGAGCTCACATCCACTCCATCCATATCACTGGCCATCTGGGCACTGTCACTGCCACCCCACTTCCCAGAGAGATTTCATCTGCACTCAGGACTCCAGCCATCACAGGTGTGCCCCCAGCTCCCACTCCTGCACCTCCTGCAAGGCCCTACCGTCCCCTAGCTTCAGGCACATGCCCAGCTCCTCCCAAACACTGCACCTGGTCACCTCAGGCTCCCTCCAACTCTGGAGACTCCAGTGGAACTCAGATACCTCCCCTCCCCACCGCCCCTGGCCTTCTCCTGCTGCTCCTCCTCCTCCATCCTCTGCCATGGGTGATGTCACTGTTGCCCACTCATAACAGCCAGCATCTTAGTTGGTACTCTAGACCAGGGCTTTGCACACTCTAGACCAGGGCTTTTGCACACTTCAAGCCACGTGCAAATCACTTGGAGGTCTTGTTAAAATGCAGGTTCTCATTCAGCAAACCTGGGAGGCCCGAGATTCTGGATTTCTGTCTCGTTTCTTCTCTATTTTTCTCTTCTTTCCTTCCTTTCTTCTTTCTTCCTTGCTTCCTTCCCTCACTTCCTTCCTTCCTTCCCCCCTTCTTTCTTCCTTGCTTCCTTCACTCACTGCCTTCCTTCCTTCCCTGCTCCCTCCCTTCTTCCTTCCTTTTCCTTCTTCCTCCCTCCCTCCTTCTTT